ACAAGGGCGGCTGTGGTTGTCGAGATGCGTATGCGCGTGCGTGTCATAGTTGGCCAGTCTAATATTAACTCGTCTGCGCACGTCTGCTGGGAAAGTAGATAACCTTGACAAGGCAGGACCACGAACAAAGACAGTGCAGCGGACGATGATGACGGTCGGCTGCAAGATTAAAAATCGCCCCACGCAGACCGGTAAGAAACGAACTTCATTCGACTTATAACTGCAAGCCACGCTACCAGCCCCGCGGGTCCTGTGCTTGTGGAATCCAGTCCTTGTCTGCAACCGAAGCTCTCGCCTGCGATGAAGGGTCAGGCTGTTTGAAAAGGGTGCGCAAATATTTTCCAGCAATAGTGATGGTCGTCTCAGATTTTCTGGTCTGCCCTGTGACCTTAGGGACTCACAATGGCGGCGGCCTTACGGTTCTGCAGGGTTTATCCCTTCTGATGTAGTGTGGCCGACAGACAGGGGTTCCCAAATCAAAAGTCAAGGAAGACGGATTGAGTTGGACAAGCCTTACTGCTGTGAATGTGCATACACAAAGCTCCGCAAGCAGTGGCCGCGAGCGCGCTCTCCAAGCCAGTTGTTGCCTGCGTCCGTTGTCGAGGTGCCCAGGCCCGACGCGTGTGTGCACCTTTCGTTGTCTCAGCGTCCGCCAGCGAACCAGAGGGGGAACAGCGTTGATTGGCTTCGAGTGCTCGCGGAGCTAGTGACAAGCCTCGCGCGTCATCTGCAAGTATATCTGGACTCATAATTGCAAAACAGGCGGTCGAGACGATCAGTCGAACGACAACAATCCACATCTCCATGCACTTCCATCCACCCCACAGGCTGCTATAGTGGTCCCACCCTCTCCATCAGCCTGAAATATTCGTTCAATTCTAGACAATCCAAGAAACAACCAGGCGGAAAGGAGGGCGGCGACAGCCTAACAAGGATTGGCTCTCTACAAGGTGGACATTACTGCTCTCCGCAAGCCCCACTTCTCCTGGCAAGGAAAACTGGAGCAAGTGGGTGCCGGCTAAAGCTTTCTGTGGAGGGCCACCCAAGGGCATTTGGAACGTGATCGTGGAACGACCGCCCCATCTGCCGCAAGACACCAAGAGCTGACTCATGGAAATTACTCTGCCTCTCCGGGAAGCCAAATTTTCCACCATCGACAGTGTCAAAACCCCCCAACGAGCAGATACGACTAGACGAAGAACAACTTCTACGAGGACCTGCATGTACCCCTGGCGACTGTGCTGAAGGCGGGTAAAGTGGTTGTCCTCGGCTGGCCTGAAAATGCTGTCTGGAGGAGAGTGCTGGGTACCCAGAAAACCAGAGGTTGTAACGACAACGGTCTCCTCCTTCTACGAACCTGACAGAACACTATCTCCCCCTGGCCAACACATTCTCTTGCCTTCCGACGTGGGAGAATGTGACTTGGATGCATCCCCGATCACGACGCTGGCAGCTACTGAACTTCGTTATCATCCGGGGAGAGGTCAACAGGACGCGTTGGTTACAAATGCGATCTGCAATTCCGATGGCTTAATGAATCACTGCCTCATTTTCTCCAAACTGCATACTTTATGACCAAGACAAAATATAATCCTAGGTAACCAGTGTGTGGATTTGGAATCCATTTGTTCAGACCAGTGTCTTTGAATCGAGGTTAGCTGTCTATCAGGGTATCTGCCAAGACACTTCGAACAAACATCGACCATAAAGTTTTTTGGCTTGTCTCAAAGAGGCATTTGAAATCAGCACATTTCAAGTTTGTAATCTGGGGCTCTAAAACGTTGGGTCTCCGAACAGTGACAAAACCTCTACTGTCTTTTACTCACATTCTCGGAAAAGGCTTCGTGAATCTACCACAAACGTGGTGTGAGCTTTAAACCCAAGTGAAGTTAAAATGGTATTTAGATGTGCTGCTAATCAAAAAGCACGCAAAACTGGAACATCGATGACCGTTTTCACTCGCAACACCGTCCCACATTTCGGATGGCTGCCCTTTTGTTCCAGGTAATATTTTTCATGAGTCCCAAACGGAGTGATATATATGGGCCGGGGAAACGACCGCATAGCCAGGGAAACAATCGAGGCTTGGCACACGGGGACAACCTCCATCAACCGTTGTGTGGCTCTTCCCGCTGCCTACCAAGCCCTTCGGGGGCAATTCAGTAAACAAAAGAGCAGACGTGCACCTAGGCTAAACATGAATCCAGACATGAGCGAGTCCATGGCGGATGCACACTCAGCCAACCCTCAACCGGGTTCCGACGAAGGCGCAGTCCTCACCACAGCCGGTCCATCTACTAGTCCGGCGGACGAGAAAACGGACAGTCGGTGCGGCGTAAACAAAATTGCCAGGCTTGGACGACAGCTACGGTCAACGAAGGTACTAACGACGGCCACCAACGTCTCAACGACGGCCCCCGATGTAGATTGAGTACATTCCGTCACCCTCCCGCCCTCCCCCCCGCCCGCTACAGTTCATGTGTGCATGCGGGTGGTGACCACTAAAGCTGATCCAGCACCCCTTCATCTGGCGAAAAGACGCTCTAGTACTCCTTCATCGCCCCTTCCTTCCTCCTGACCTCATATGTAAGAAAATTTGTCTTGACAAGATTGTCAGCCACCTATAAATACTGTGAGGCGCGATACCACACTCACCACCGACGACAAAAGCTTGTTTGCATTTTAAACGTCAAGGCAGTAAAACTATGGTTCCCGAGATCGCAATTTCTTCTCATATATATATATATATATATATATATATATCAGCGAGGAGGGACGACAGAGAATGCGGGTATATTGATACAGCACTGTTTCGGGCTTATTCTGCCTTCATTCAGCCAATCATAACCCTGACCACCAGCAGCTGCGACCAGAAACACAAACATGCGCACAGACGCACCTGGCGCAGTCGGTCCACCACTGAGGCCTACCAGATGGGTCATAAGCAATTCATCGAACCGAAGTTCATCAGTGCCTCGCCACCTGTCATTCTCTGTCGCTGCAGATCGGGTATTTATCAATCAGGAATGGGCGCACACCGATCTATTGGCTTCACAAAGCAAACAAGCTCCGTATGTGTG